GAGAGAGAGAGGAAGAGAGAGGGATAGAGGGGACAGAAACTTGGATGGGAAACATCATCAATTAGCTGCCTCCAGAACACCCCCTGCCGGGAATTGAGCCTGCAACTCGGGCATGTGCCCTGACTGGGAATAGAACCGGTGACCTCTTGGTTCCTGGGTCTACGCTCAACTGCTGAGCCGCACCTGTTGGGCTAACTTCATTGTTTGTTTGTTTGATTTTTACTTTTTGTTTCTAGATGATTGTAGATTCTAAATTCTAACGCAGAGAGCTCCCATATCCTCACCAGGCTTCCCCTAGAGCAGCGGTTCTCAACCTGTGGGTCGCGACCCCTTTGGGGTTCGAACGACCCTTTCACAGGGGTTGCCTAAGACCATCAGAAAACACATATATAATTACATATTGTTTTTGTGATTAATCACTATGCTTTAATTATGTTCAATTTGTAACAATGAAATTGGGGGTCACCACAACATGAGGAACTGTATTAAAGGGTCGCGGCATTAGGAAGGTTGAGAACCACTGCCCTAGAGTAACATTTTAGAAAACTGTAGTACAACATCACCATCAGGATATCAACATGGATGCAATCCAGCCATCCTATTTGATTTCCCCATTTAACTTGTACCAGTGTGTGTGTGTGTGTGTGTGTGTGTGTGTGTGTGTGTGTGTTGTTCCCTACAGGTTTTTTTAATCCTCACCTGAGGATATTCTCTTTTATTGATGTTTTAGAGAGAAAAGGAGAGGAAGAGGGAGAGGGAGAGAGAGAAACATTGATTGGTCACCTCCTGCACACACCCTGACCAGGGATCGAACCCACAACCTGGGTATGTGCCTTGAGCTGGAATCGAACCTGCAACCTTTGGGTGTATGGCATGGGACGATGCTCCAACCAATTTAGCCACCAAATTGTAGTTCCCTACAATTTTACCACCGGTGTAAGTTCATGAATCTACCACCACAGTCCAGGGACAGGCCAGTTCCAACAAAAAGATCCCTCATGACACCCACCCACCTTTGCCCCCTTGCCACCACCCTTCACCTTGACAACCACTAATCTGTTGTGCATTCCGTCATTTTGTCATTTTGCCACCTTGAGGATCTTTTTTTTTTTAAATATATTTTATTGATTTTTTACAGAGAGGAAGGGAGAGGGATAGAGAGTTAGAAACATCAATGAGAGAGAATCGATCAGCT